TCCGCTCGTTCCGAATCATGCTCCCGCTGCAGCCGAAAAAACCATCGGAAATTATTACACATTCGGTGTCTACTCTCTGATTTTTTGGACCGCGCCGCCACGCCATCCATGCTATATCATGCTACGCGTTCATCTTGAACACCATTCTATGCCATGTAATGCTATGCCATGCTACGACATCCGATTGTGCGAATAGAGAGGAGATCCACGCCATGGTAAGGAATTGGAGGGAGGGGTAGGACGTCAGATATGACGTGAGCGCACGTAGCTTGCCCTCCCACCTCCTCGCTCCCCCGCTCCTGCTGCTGCTGCTTCTGCTCCTCCTCCTCCTTCTCCATCCTCCTGATCCTCTTCTTTGTCCTTCTCCTCCCTCCTCTCCTTCCTCCTCCTCCTCCTCCTCCTCCTCCTTCTCCTTCTCCTCCTCGTCCTCCTCATAGTCTTCCTCCTCGCTCTCCTCCTCCTCCTCCTCCTCCTCCTCCTCCTCGTCCGCGCGGTTCCTTTTTCAAGAATCCTCCCCCTCCCCCTCCCCCTCCCCCTCTCCCTCCCGTTCTCCCTCCCCCTTCCCATAACCCTCCTCTCCTCCTTCTCCTCCTTCTCCTCTTCCTCCTTCTCGTCATCGTGGTCCTCGTCCCACCTCTCACCCTCCTCCTCCATCCCGTTCTATAGAAACTCATTCCTGTCGCACCTCCAGACGGGTCGTTAGGGCGGGCCGTGCGTTTCGCCTGAGACTACCTCACAACTTATGATCCCGAAGCAATTTGCAACGGTTTCAAGAGTGGAGGGCGGGCCGTTTTCAACATATGGCTCTCGCCTTAGTGCCGCGCCCGTTCTTTTTAACGTCCCTTCACCCCTTTAGGGCGTAGATGGTCTAGAGAGCTTTCTCTTCCAACCCCTTCTTCCCCTTCGGGGAAGGGCTCATCACTGCTCCTTATTAATGTACACTCCATCCCCCACCCGGCCGGCGGCCAACCCGGAACCATGCCGACCCCATGAGGGCCCGCCTCCTACCATCCCTGTCAGAAAACAATTCAAACCGCACTCTGCCTCCACATTTGGAGCATGCGCGGCCAACCCGATGCGCCCCCCCCCACCATCCCTGTCACAAAACAATGCAACATACACTTTGGGCCAAAGTCTTGAATCATGTTCGTGAGGCCCGCGAGCACTTCGTATTGCTTTTGACAGGGACGACGGGGGTGTCAGCATACTCCCTGCTGAGCGCAAGGCTGCCATCCCTGACAAAAACCATACAACATGCATCTCGCGGCTAAACCTGGATCAGGCGGCATGACCATCCCGCGATCACCGTCAAGTGGTTTTTGTCAGGGACGGCGGGGGTGGTGACGCGTGGCCTGCTGTGCGCAGGCCCACCAGACATAGTGATGGGCATCGGTTTTCGACAAGGATGGCGGGGGCCGACATGTTTCCCGATGTGTGCTGTCACGTGCGCAGGCGCAACTGATGCACTCTGCACGCGCTACGAATGTGGCGCACCTGGCGCGGCTGGAGTGTGCGGCACACCTGGCGCACTCATAGCACGTGGCGCATCTGGCGCACCAGACGTGCCTGGCACGCTCGGGCCCCAAGGGTGCCTGGCGCGCGTGGCGCCCCTGGCACGCGTGGCGCACCTCGCCCAGGCGTCGCGCACCTGGGGTCGGCTTTGGTTCCCAGTAGCTGTCCATCCATAGACGACCGCTGAACATGCTCAGGCTGGGGTGTTACTTATGTTTTGGGAGGGCGGGTGGGAATGATCTAGACGGCTTGCAGGCGGGTGGGTAGCTTGACCCCTCCCCCTACCCCCTCCCCTGGACCTGGACGGGGCTCCCCGTGAGGTGTCAGAGGGTACTTTTTCGCCCAAGGCGGCCCCAAAAGGGCCTCAGAGAGCCCACGCTGACCTCCAAGATGGCTCAAGACAGCCTAAGATGCCTCAATATGGCTCCCAGGATGCTCCAAGAAGCCCCAAGACCGCTCCAAGGCTGCTCCGGGATGCTTCCGAGACTTCCCAAGAGGTCGCCAAGATGCTCAAATCCTTCAGCAACTAAGGACAATCAACAAATCTTGCGTTCTCGCCTTTTCGCTTCCGATGGCCTTCCGAGGCCTCAGGCCAGCTCGAAGAGGGCCCCCCAGGAGAGGCCCAACAGAGCCCAGCACCCAAGAGCGCTCCAAGACCGCCCCTAGAAGGGGCCCAAACTGCGATCTTTGGAGCTCCCGAGGGGGGGTCGTAATCAAAGCTCCCATCTTTTTTGGTCGATCTCTTCCAAGATGGCCACAAGAGCGCTCCCAAGGCTCCCAAGAGCGCCTCAAGAGGGCCCCGAGAGGCGCCCAGGAGGCCCCAAGAGGCGCCCAAGAGGCCTCCAAAAGGCTCCTGAGAGAGCCCCACGAGGCCCCAAGAGTACTCCCCAAACCTGTAGGGAACATCAATGAATGTTGCCTTCTCGCCTATTTGCTTTCGATGGCCTTCGAGGGCCTCAAGATGGCTCCGGGATGAGCTGAGGGGCCCAAGAGAGGCCCGACAGAGCCCCAAGACGGCCCCAAGAGCGCTCAAGAGTGTCCCAAGAGCGCTCCAAGAGGGACCCTTCCCCTGTGTACTGCCCACTTCCCTGATCGAGGCAACTCCTCTGGGCCTCGCTTCTGCATGGGCTGGTTTGCGAAACGTTCGTAATTTACGGCTGTTTAAAGGATGAAGGGGGTGGCCTTTTCAAGATGTGGCTCTCGCCTCAGCGCCGCGCACATTCGTCTTCAATGTTTACAGCAGGTGGAGGGCGCGTCTTTTTCAAAGTGTGCCTCTCGCCTCAACGCCGCGCATATTCGGCTGTCGTGTGCAAAAAGGATATAACACTTTCAAGGAGGCATGGCGGGTGGTTTTCACCATGTGGCTATCGCTGCAGTGCCGCGTGCAGTCACTTCAACCATCTGCAGGATGGATGGGAGGCAATTCCTTTTCAAAATGTGGTTCTCGCCCCAGGGCCGCGCGAATTCGTCTTCACATGTTTGACAGTTTCACGGGTTCGTAGGGTTGAAGTCCCAGGAATGGAATCCTAGCGCGATTTAGGATCGTCAGGGCGCGACTGTCACGTTGATTCGCGGTGTTGAAATCCCAAAAATGTTGCTTTTGGCTCGATTTAGGAGCGTCAGGACGCATCAGTCACGTGGGTTCGCGGCGTTGACGTCCCAAGTGTGAATGATCCTTGGGCACGATTGGGGATTCTCAAACGGTTGCCTTGCAATGGGGCACTCCACGCAATGAAAACAAATCCGTGTAGGGACACTTTGACGGCGGAACTTGGAGCGAGGGCGTACGGCAACATCATTGATGCATCTTGGGTTTAATCTGGTCCTCCTGCTCCCCCTCCCCTCCTCCTTCTCCTCTCCCTCCTCCTCTTCGTCCGCCTTTCTCCCCATGATGTGGGTCTCCAACATTGCCCTCCCTCTCTGGGGGAGAGAGAGAGAGAGAGAGAGAGAGACAGAAAGAGAGAGAGAGAGAGAGACAAAAAATAGATAGCGAGCGGAGCGCCCGCGTGCGAGGCGGCGCCGCCGATGGCACGTTTGCGTAAGCGACGCGTGTGTGTGTGTGTGTTGTGTGCGTGTGTGTTGTTTGTGTGTGTGTTGTGTGTTGTGTTGTGTGTGTGTTTTGTGTGTGCGTGTTGTGTGTGTGTGTGTGTGTATGTGTGTGTGTGTGTGTTACCGCCTGAGGGCTCGGCCGCGCGCGCACTGGCTCCGACTTTCTGCACTCCGCCTCGACGCTGCGCGCGTGGCCACCACTGTCTAAACGTGTGCGTGAGTGTGTGTGTGTGTGTGTGTGTGTGTGTGTATGTGTGTGTGTCTGTTTGGCCTGCCCACGCGCGTTTCTCGATTGCCGACCCTCTCTACGCCGCGACGCCGCGCGTGGCCGCGACGCCACAAAATATGTGTGCGTGTGGCTCGGCCAACCCGCGCCCGCTCGGGTGACTTGACATACGCCGCGCCGCCGCGCGCGTGGCCGCGACGCCAAAAAGCGCGCGTGTGTGTGTGTGTGTGTGTGTGTGTGTGTGTGTGTGTGTGTGTGTGTATGTGTGTGTGTGTGTGTGTGTGTGTGGGTGCTACTTTTTTGGTGTGTGTATGCATGCGTCCGCCTTAGTGTGCTCGCTGTGGTGCTGTCACCCACCCACTGAAAGAAAAAGTGTGTGTGCACCCGTTCGGCTACATGCAAGGAGTGACCCTGGGCGGATGACCTTCCCCGACATGCTCGCGCCAAGCACACACACACACGACGGGCGGTTTCTGGCCGACTTCGGCCTCTGGGGGCCCTCGCCGCGCCCCGGGCCCGTTGAAAAACGGCACGCCGGCCCCAGGGAAAAGGATCGGGACTTCCGTGGACTTCTGGCCCAGGGGAAGAGACATCGTATGTCCGGGTTTGGTGCGCGGCTTTAGAAGGCCGCGTGGGGCCAAACCCCGGCGCGCATGGCAAATGCAGGGGTCCATCCCCGTGGAAAACACGAATGACAGGGATGGAAGCCGAAACGATGCTGAAACAAAACGGGCGGGGCCCGTTGCATTGAGTGACATCCGCCTGTCAATCGTACGTAATACCGTCTCATCCTCACTGCGCAGGACATGCTCGTCATTTCCCTGGGGGAACGAAATTGGAAGGCAGAACCTGGAACCGCCCATGCCTGCGGCCAAGTGAGGGATCAACTTGGAGGAGCACCCGGGCATTAAGTGGTATCCGCCTCTCGGTGTTGCAGCCGGGCGCGCAAGCATGTATGGTATATTGATAACCTGGCCCATGGTGCACGCCTGCAAACGCTGCCAGCGTTGAAAAACGAATATACTCAAGGATCCTCCTGTGGGCGTGGCCGTTCGCAGATGATTCAAGACGATCGTCTTGCGGATGTTGGTATAACTTTCTTTTCGGCTGTGCAATTCCCGTGGGCCCGCAACGAAGACAACCCCCGCGACGGGCCACCCTTGCGGGCCGCGAGCCGAAGACCCCTCGGCCCCGCTTTGCGCCGCCCAGTCGC